CCATTGGCAACAGCACTGTTCCTAAGGGGAGGCTGGGCCAGACACCTCCAGACGTCCCTTCAGACACCATTCCTGTGGTCCTTTGGCTACAGATATCCAAAGATGATGCAAGGAAAGAACTTGTACGAGCTAAGCTGTAATTTGCACAGTGGCAACTTTCACCTCACCTCAACTTCACCGCAGCATATCTGAACATATTAGTCAGTGTTCAATTCTTTGTATAGAATAATAGTTTTATTAAGATACTTGTGATTATAATTTACTAAGTATAAACAGTGGAACTTCTTTTGTACTGTGCTAAACTTGTGTGAGCCACCTCTTGTGTGTCTTGTACCAGATCTATAGCATTATGCTACAGATTGTTTTCAACCAGCTTTGGTTATTAGGATTTACAGAGGCATGAGCAGACTGTGGATGACTGTCACTGGTTTTCTCTCAAAGTCTCTTCTTGCATAGAGATTATCCAAAAAAAAAAAAAAAAGACCTTTTATATATGGGTCTTTTGAGGCCTCCTTTTTTTCTGGATCATTAATATCTGCAGTCCATGTACTTCTGTTAACTTTTTGAGGTAATGTGTTTAGACCCAGGCAAGTTTTATGATTTCATCAGAACTAAAATATGCTTACAGCACACTGGATTATAGCTCAATTAATTTTGCATCCCAATTAAGTGGAAGACAATCTTGTCACTGACAAGTCTCTTTCCTGTGTTAAATCTATCCTCCTTCAGATGTGATGCAGAGAATGAGAATGACTTAAATGAATAGATGAAGACAGATCCAAGCTGTTGTCTGCACTCTGTAAGATGCAAGCTGGCTTCAGCCTGGACCTGTAGCCGTGGCAGTGAGATACTGTGCTGCTATCTGGGTATTCCCTACCTACTAGGTTCTTTCCTAGCTACTAGCTTCTCCCTACCTACTTGCTCAGCAGAGCATGTAGCATAAATAGAGAAGCTCAGGTGCAGCTTACTACTATTTGTAGAAATATCTGTTGTGGAACAGTAAGGAAAAAGTGTCAACAAGCTCACAAAGAAAGGAAAAATACCTAAGATCAGAATCATTCTGGCAGCAGGCATAGCTGCAGGGACTGCTTTGCCCGTAAGTTACTGCCTGGCTGGCATGCAGAGGGCAGGCAGTAAATCCACCTTGCCGGTCCGGTTTGTAACACTGAACTAGCACAGTACTCTCAAGAGGACTGAAAATTGTAAGTTTGTACAGGCAGTTTCCTCTTCTGCTTCCAGTATTCATCCCATTGGGCTTTGATTCTGATTTAACTGGAGATTTTATTTTCCTTTTATTCTTGATTATAAAAAAAGTCAGTGATTCTTTAAACTCTGTTGGATGGTTGGCTTTATCTATATATCACATAATGAACAGCGTACATGTAGTAAACAACATGCTTCGTTTCAGGTGGCCTTGAATCAAACATGATTATCTTCCTGTAATCGACTGATTACATTAATTTTCCTGTGGAATTGGTCCAGATGACCTCTTCCTTCCCTCCTCTCAGCTGTGCATAGTAGGACATCCCAGAAGACTGCTGCCTATGCCATTGGTGAAATTCTGTGCTTATGGCCCTTGGGCAGTACTTCTCCTCTAGAGGAATTAAAAGCTACAGAGATTATCTCAGCATGCACCTATATGAACACAAGCAAATATTTGTGGTACCTATCGTTATAAAAATTTGATCAGTGCTATGAAAAATCCTCGTGTCATCACAAACCTAAACAAATGAGGTGCAAGGTCACAGTCTGAGAGCTGTGTAGAGTAGGTCAATGGTTCCCTATCGTTCTGTCCTAGAAGGAAAATTAGCAGAGTGTATCACTGGATGCAGCCCTATTCCCCACCTTCTTCCCAGGGCTGTTGCTGCCTCTTTGAAATCATGTTCTGGAAGCACAGTTTGCAGAGCCCATGTCCTGGTTTGGCTAAAACAGGACCATTTCTCCTTTCAGTAGATTTTCCTTCAGTTAAGTTTTTCTTAAGTAACTGCACTCTCTGAAGCTGACTACAGGTTTTTCAGGCAGTGCCTGCTTTTAGAGTTGATGGCACTTGATGCCTGTAGTTGTCGCTGGGGTAGAAGTGGGAGTGTTATGCAGAAAGACCCTTGGGTGCGTGCTTGTTCCCTGTGAGCTCTCTTGTGCTTCAGGTAGGGGGAGGTGGAAAAGGGCCAGATGGGACAGGTGACCGAGGACTGACCAGTGACGTATCCATCCCATCCACATAAATAGTCAGGATAAATCTCAGGGATCACGGCGGCCAGCCGCCTTCCATTCATCTGGTGGGGCTCCACTCGCTCTCCTGCCTCCAACCCCAATCCGTGCATCCCTCAATCCAGCTCCTGTTTGCTGCGGAGCCCGCTCCGGGCCATCTGGGTGCCCGCCCTACTGCATGAGCACTGCGAGCCACTGCAGTGCAGCCAGTGGTCCCACAGTCGTCATCAGAAAAATCAATATTGGTTTTGTATATTTCTATTTCTAGTATTAGTAGTATTAGTTTTAATATTATTTATACTCTTTCTCATTGTTATTGCTTCATTGAAGTTTAACTTTCCAACCCATGTCTCTCTCCCTGTTCTCCTCTCCTTCACCTTCTGGGAAAGGAAGGGGTTAAAAGAGAGCATCTGCCATCAGTGCTGGCCCAGCCTTAAAGGTGACACCACAGAAGTCCTGTGGTTTGCTCATTGGTACTCCACTTTTCTGTGGTCACAGAACCAATGCTCCTGCTAGGCTGGCAGTTCAAGTTGTTCTCCCTTTTTATAGTCGCTTCTCTTTGTACACGAATGACTATTTTTTTTCTTCCCCTGGGTCTTTTCCCATATGCCCATTTCTGGGTCATGGACTTTTCATTTTCTGGGTGTCTGGTACAGAATTAGATCAAGGCTCTCTCTCACTCACAATAGCATTAGATAACAAGCTTGACTGCAAGTCAGTAACTCGGCAAATTCTCAACTCAGTCACATCTAAACATAAGGCTTCAGTGGACTGGATACTTCCCATGACCAATTGCTATTAGTAGTTTGCAGCATTTATGACAATTTCAAACTGCAGAGGATAAACAGTATGGTTTCTTGTCCTTGAATCACAGGAACAACTGAATCCTGGAATAAATGATTGCTTGTCATTTGTTATATATTTCTAGGGAACTGAAGACGTAAGAAGTGAGAACCATGGACTTAAACCTCAGCCTGCGGCATGAAGAAACCAGCTCCAGTTCATGACCATGACCATCTAGTTCCATGACTCTCTCATCTCTCATCTTCAGTACTGACTGAGTTGGCAGATTTTTGCTTCCATCTGAAGAGTGAAGAACAGTCAGTCCGCCTTCTCACTGTCAGGAAAATAAACATTCCTCTCCCCATCCCCACCTTCAGGTGTCACGAAGGGAGCTTTGCTGTTTTCTGAGACTTAGTCAATATTCCTTTCTGGTCATGTTGTAACCTCTCTGCATAACCGTATTCACTCTCCCAGGGCTCAGCTGTAAATATACCAGGTCTGGGATACAAAAAGGACACATTTCTGGCATGGAATAATATGTTAAAACCCACATCTGATTATTTTAGACATTAAATTACTGGAGCTCTTTGCAGTATTGTATAAGGGATTAATGGCACACATACACGCATTCACCTGCTATGAAAGAAGCAGACCAGACACACTTTCCCCGTGAGGAAAAGCTGCCACATAAATATTAAATTGGACTTTGATACTGCAGGCAGCACCTCTCTGAAACTGCCCAACAAACCCCACACTGCCCAGAAGCAAAGTAGCCCTGCAGACATATGCAGGGCTCCTCCACCGGAGCTGGCAGATGGCAGGAGATCCAAAGAAGGCTGGAGGGAACAGCACAAGGGATGCAGCAGCATTAACAATACACTGAAATAACTAACAGGGAGAAAAAGAAAAGAAGAGAAAAAGCCAGCTCAAAACTGATAGAGATCTTTAATTTAAAAACGGAGTAAGTTTATTCATTGGGAAAGTAAAACAAAATACCCTAGGGATAGTGCATTCCACTCCAACAATTAAAACTGTATTACAAAGCGCACAGGAAGGTCTGAGTCTTAAAGAGAACTGGCACAAAAGCTAGTGGTTTTCTTTTTTTTTCAATATATTTATCTCTGAGTGAGAGAGATAGTCACTGATTAATTTTTTAGGTACTTAATTTACAACTTCATTGCTTCTACTTGCAAGTCATTCTGTTCCTTAAAGATGCGAGCTTGGGACCGGAGGACCATAGTCTGCAGGCACTTAAGAGGGGGCAGTTCTGAAAGAATGGGGATGTAGGGCTTAGTCACATACTCGAGGTTGGGAGCTACTAGATATTCTAAAGAGATATTCCCCCCAATTGTTTCCCTCTAAAATCGGAGGTATGCAAAACCAGTCCAGTTTCACTCATAAGAGCAGTTTCTGCTGCAGCTGAGGGGGTGCAAGCAGGCAACAGGAGAGCACAGGACTACAGCAAGCTTACAGTTACAGCTCATGTTGCTCAAGGGTGCTGCTAGTTTCTGATCACTGAACAAATTTTTGCCGTAGAGGTAATTCTCTTGGAAATGCTGCAGGTAGGTCTTGTACCCATAGCAGCCTATTCTCATTCATACTGGTTACTGCACTTCAGCTGACATTTACAAGCCCAAAAGGATTTTTCAAATACATAGCAATTATGTATCTTTTGCTAGCACTTTCTGCCCAATCATTTCAAAATACTTTAACAGCATCACTGAACCAAGCTTAAAATTATCTGACATACAGGTATTTTAAAGGGAACCGAGTACAGTAAACACCTGCAGCAAAACGGCAATAATCTCCTGAGTCTCAGTCCTGAACTTCTTTTCCTTTTAAATTCTTTTTCCTCCCCCAACCTATTTCTTATAGCAAGAAGGAGTACATTTATTCTGCAGAAGTTTATTAATCCCAATACAGGCAAGTGACTTCTAGTATGATTACATTAGTTCCCAATTCCATATGGAGGTTGCCTGTCCAGTCCATGTCAGCATGATCTCCTGGACTCAGCTGTCTGTATTTGGTTTATGTCTCTTGGCTCTGCTGTTCTGATGGTGACTGTCTTCAGAAGGTGCTTGGCCCCTTCCGTTTGTTCCACATTCCTCTGGAAATTTCTGACCCTCAGCCAACACCTGCCGAATAGTCATATTAATGCGGGAAGACTGCAAGTACTTGGCACACACCTGCCAATCCTCATCAGAGCTGCGCTCAATGACTGAGCCGGCAGGAAGATCTGAAGAAAGTGCTTGGTCCAGGCATGAAGGCAAAGCTGTTCCTTCAGGGTTGGGGAGGACCCGGGGGACAGCATGGTACAGCAGACGGCTGAAGCCAGACATCACCATGATATCTCCGCTGTGCATGAACATTGCTGTTGGGGCCTCCTCCCGCTTCAGGCCGCCAAGCAAAAATATTGAGGATTGCCCAAAACTAGAGATGGTATGAGGATGGAGAGAGAAGAGAAAACAAATTCAGGTAGAGAACAATTAAACGTACAGTAAGAAAATATTAGCAGCTAAATCCCTTTATTAAAAAAACCCAAAAACCAACAACAGGAAAACCAGATGGACTCCTAGTAACAACTTTATAATGAGAACATGATAAACAAAGAGGCTGGGTTCAAGGTAGGCGTAGTGTGAGCAGTTGCCCTGCCAGGATTGAAGCTCTGCTGAGGTATTTCATGCTTGCCTGCTAGTACCCAACTGACACTCTGCTGCTTTAGAACAGAATTGTCCTCTGTGCAAAGAGCTCTTCCACCCCAGGCACCACATCCATGCTATACAAGCAGTCTTCAAAGAAAAACCTATGCCCTTGAGCTACAGCTTCATACTAATCAAATCTTCAGAGAGTGAAGATTATATACCCAACTAGCAAACTACATCATACCAACTTCCTATAACCATATGCAACCATAGGAAAAAAAAGCTACCAATCCTTCCACAATGCTCTAGTGCTTTCCTTGACTCACCTGAATGATAAAAGAGGCCGAGAATGGTCTAGTTCAGACTCATCCACATGAATTCCCAGTGAAGAGTCAAAATGATAGTAGTTCAAGATCCCTGCTTGGGCTTGGAAACCCCGGAACCCGCAGGCTGCAGCCACTTGTTCTGACAGGAATGCAAGGTCTGAGGGGAAAGGAGTGTGGTGATTTGCTGAGTACTTCTGGAGGAAGGAGAGCAGGAAGAAAAAAAAAAAAACAACAAAACAAACCACACCCAGAACATCAGAGCAGCAAATAATATTGGAAACAAACATTGAATGAGAACTCAGAAGTTTGGCTGACAGTCATGGAGAAGGACATCATATTTGCCTAGAAAATTATTACAACATAGGCAGAACCACAGCAAGTTTACCCCTTATCATTTAATTCTGGGCCTATGCCAGAGATTCAACTAATCATGGAGTTAATTATTACATCTGGACGGCAAACTTGAAGTCAGTAAGACTAGTACCTAAGGTTAGTACCAACATCCTAAGGATCTACTTGGTCACCACGTACAACTGCCAATGGAAAGACAGTTCTATGTCTCATCAACAGAGCTCTGAAACAAGCATCTTTGTGCCTTCTTTGAAGATTAAGACAAACAGGAATCAATTGCAAACCTCCTTTTTCTCTCTCCCATGGGTGATTCTGAGAGGACTGGAAAGGAATAATCAAGTTTTTATTAAGGCCACTCAATAACAGGCTGACCTGGTAAATATAAGGCTGCAAGCAGATTTGATTAAGTATCTGCAATATACTGATAATACTGCATATTCACTCTGTCATCCTTTCTCAGCCTCCATCTGACTCAGCCTTATGAAAAAGTTTATTTTGGTTAGGAGCCCCAAAATAGCTGTTAGCTGGTAAGACTGTACTATATTGGTTCAGACTCTTAAGTTCAAAGTCACATCAGCAGTAGACTCTTCCTGCCCTTGCTCACCTCTCCAAAGAGCAGTAGTTTCTCAGAAGTGGCTCTCTCCAAGCACTCAAGGTCACTCTCACCTTAAGTAGTTAATGATGCTTTTGTGACCATCCCTTTTGGTAGGGTAAAAATGCTCACTTACCCTAAAATCATAGGTCTAAAGCCAAGTATATGCTACCATGTTACCTTTCAGAGGAAGGAATGCAGCAATGCACTTTTGCTGTTAAATCCTTCACAGTAAACTAATACAGATTAAAATGTTCTAACAAGCATGGTTTATTACAGCCTTTCCTCAAGACTGTCTTGTAGGATCATAAGCATTTTATTCCATGACACCCTTCTCCGTCTGCCATTCTGAGTGCTTACAGCTAAGAAAAATGGAGAATTTAATTTCAATACCTTAGTATCCCAGTTATAATGGTAACCAAGGGTCACCCAGCGCAGTTTCTCCAATAAGCTTCTGGGCTCCCGTTTACTGGAACCTTTCCTTCTGCAAAGACAAAACGGAAAGAAATAGGACGTGCATTAATTTCTGAGGGTTTTCTGGTACTGCAGCATACAGTAATGAGATTCACTCATCCATATGACAGCCTATTAAAACCATCAATGCTAAACTTTCATTGTCAGTGCCATTATTTTTTTCCTCCAAAGACCTTGAAAATTCAGTTCATGCAATTTGTGCAAGCTATAGGGCCTACTGCCAATTGCTGTCAGTTTGAAAGCGTGTATTTTCAACATGGTACATTACAGGTTATCAGACAGAAACAACACGATGAACTGGTGCAGGTTTAGAAGTCAGAATTAAGCATGTACTATTTGAGCACCTGAAAGTGAAAAAACAGAATCTGTGAAGACCTAAAAGCTGCAAACACAAGGAAAAAATATTCTAGGCACTTAATGGAAAATTACAAGAAAGGAAAATGCTTTGCCTGATGGTGAAACTTATCAAGCTGCTTAATACTGCAAAGGACCGTTAGTTCTACCACTTGGTACTTTTACAAGAAGTCCTTAGGATGGACTGACTCAATGTTCAGTAAGAAGGAAGACTGCTCTACCTATGACCATATGCTTCGTGTAATGTCAAGAAGTCTAGATTGCAGGTGTCTCCTATCCAGACTGCTATGCAGGACAAAAAACTTCTTCTCAAGTTACAACCCTAATGCAGAGGGACTCAGTAGTCTGAAGCCACAGGCCAATTACCATTCTTACTTGAAGGTGGTGAAGGCAGGAAAAGACTTCAGGGATGGGCTTTTACTATGGCCTATGGAAAAGTCCTTAAAAAGTTACGAAGAGTATTACTATAGTACATCAGATAGAAACATGGTAGTGACAAATACCAAAAGGAAGGTAAACATCTATCTTCTAGTCCACTTATTCCAGCAATTCCAGCTTCTTTTCTCAAGCTAAGTCATGTGTTACGGTAAAGAAAGAAAGAAAAGGGAAATGTACTCTGAACATCACGATAAACAGCATTAGCAGATGGTTGGCTCTCATTTATAGCCTCATTAGTTCAGTAAGACATGCTCTTTTACAAAACAGGATTCATATTTGTGCTGCCATAGTCAAGTCTCAGCCAAGCACCTGCATTTAATGTTCACTTCTAGCTGGATACACAGCTTGTTTCTGCCCTTCCCCTATAGTGTACTGATAGCTCCTAAGCTAAACCAGGAACAGGAGTAAAAGGCCAGTTTCTTTACCTTTAGTAATTTTTCATAGCTCACTGATTATTGAAAGAAAGTAGTCTTTCCAGTTTCCATCTTTGTCATAGGGTAATAGCAACTGCAATTACCATAATGCAGCAACACAGTAACTGTCAAATACACGCTGCTTGGAACAAATTACAGACCCTACAAGCAGGTAACACCACATTTAGAAAAAGGAGAGCCCACAACCCGCTCCTCTACATCTTTCAATCACTCAATGTTCATGATTAAACATTTTTAGCATGTGCCTTTTGAAAGTGCCCTCCTTCTTCTTTCGCTACAGTGTGAGTGCTTGTTTGCACAACAGCAGGAACCCCCATATGCTCGGTAGGTCCTTATTCCCAGACCTTAGTATTTTGCATGGGATTTTACATGTGATTACTAAGGAGAGGAAAGTCTGAGTGTTATGTATCTGGAAACAATGAGTTCCTAGAGCTGTAGCCACAGGTGCTCCTACAAGAAAGCACAGAGAAATTCTGGTGTAACTATGTTAGAAAGAGAACAAGACTGAACAGCACGGGGGCTTTGGTCTGAAGCTCCCTTTTTTCTTTATTCACTGCTAAATGACTGTATCTATAAAATACCCCCAGCCTTTTCCTTATACACAAGCATATATATATCCCTTGTAGGGATGCTCTACCCACTTTTATGCTTTTAATTATCCCCAGCACAAAAGAAAATATCTGAACTCCACTTTGTGAAGACAGCATAGCGTACGTTTCTAGGAACTGTACGGACTCTCTCTACCTTGTGATTCCTGCATCCTGAAAAGAGCAGGTAAGCCATGACCCAAGCATATTTATGCATCTTCCTGATGGTTTTAAAAAGCATTAAAGTTGTGTCCAATCTTGGAAGTAGACCTCTTTAGTTAAACACTCTGTTTCTCCTCTCCTTGAAAGGCTCTCACTCCAGATACTAGACAAGTTGGCTAGTTTGATCTGCCGTTCCCTAGGTAAAAGCACAAATACACCAGTCTGCTCACCTGAAGACTCAGGCAAGTGCTTAATAAAACTGCCAGTGTTTCTGCCAGCCATCACTCTTCCAAACACTGTTTTCAACTGAACTGGATTCAGCTGCAAATTAACCTTTGTTCTGATCATTCTCTGTGCGTGCAGGAGCTGCTGCTGGGAAAGGCCTGTCACCAGGCTGGAACAGTACCCCACTTTTTTCAGCTGCAGGGCACAATGCACAATACTTTCAAAGAACAATTTTTCATCCTTGATAGAAGACAAAAAAGGCGTCTGAATTTCTGTAACTAATTCTGACTGAGCCTGAAAAACACAAGCGGGGGCATAACTTCTCTCCTAGGTTCAAATACTTAGAGGTCCAAATCTTGCTTTTGCCATTCCATTTCTTGTAGGTGTTAAGAGTATTTATGAAGGAAAACCTCAGCATGTCAATTTTACTAAGAGACTGAGGTGGAAGATGAGAGTTGTAGGGAATTCTGGTCACTCCATCACATGAAACAATCATTATGAAAAATGAGCAGTGAAATCAACAAGGTAATGATAAATACCCAAACAACTAAAAGACTGTGTACTGTAAACAGCATCTATCTTGTATGTATTTTTACAAGTGACTAATTTAAAAAAACCTCTCTTTAAAACTTGGACTTCAAAACTTCCTACTTGACTTTAAAACTTGGACAAATTCTGCATTCAATTCCAAATCAGGTAGAGGAAATGCAGCTGTGTCAGCCACAGAACCCTGAACCTGTGGGAATCTTTCAGAGTAAACAGGATTGCCATTAAAATGTTACATTCAATCACCATCTCAGATGGAATTAAAAACAAAACAACAAACCAAAACAAAGAAATACTTCAGAAAATAAAAACAGAGAAATTAACTAACTTGAGAAGTTCAAAAAAGCGCAGATAACAGCCTTTCAGTTACAGTATACTAGGTCTGACAGCTGACTGGGAAGAAGAGCTAGCATGAGTGGGGTGTTTGGAAAGCATTCCTTTTGCCTCAGGGAAACTAAGGCCTAGAGGGACATCATGGTTCCACTTGCAGCTGAGCTTAGCAAGCTTCCAAGCACCATGATATCAGCCAGGGTCACTATTTTACATTTGACTGATGGCTTTGGAATAATTTGCTACTAGAAAATTCCATTGTGAGTGTGAAAGCAGAGAATTAACAAGGATGCACAGCAAGCCATGAAAAATCCATCTTTAACTTGGCATGTCTGACACCATCTGTATACTGCCAGCATGTACACAATCTTTTTCAGCTCCCCTTCACTGCTCATTTTTCTTAGACCTCCTCAGAGTTGAGACCTTCTGGCTCCATTAAGTTTTGGCCACCAAAGGTTATTGTGGACCTACCTCAGCTGCTCCTTGCTCTGTCCCCACAGGTCAATGGTCTTCTCAGGAGCCATATGCAGGTCCAGGTTGCAGATATTGGGTTTCTCAGGGTATAGCTTGAGACACTGTTTCACCCAGTGACGCTGGCAGCCCGGAAGGAAAGGGTTTGGTATGAAAATAAAGCCTGACCACAGAGAAAAAGGGAGGGGGTGGGGAGAAAGTATGGTTAGGCATTTCCCTGTTTTTTCTAAAACTAGAGCAAAGGACAGGGGTTGGAGGTACTGAAAAAACACCTTAGACATACAAGCACTGACTCTGCATGTAAGTTAATGAAATCTATTAACAGGTCTGAATAGTTAAGTTAAAACCTATTGGTTTTTTTTCGGTACAAACAAATGGTGGCCATAAGGTAGAAGGCAGGGAGGGCAGCCAACACTGGTCCAAGTAAAAAAATGACAATAAAGGACATATCTGTACAAGGCATATTGATTACAGGTACATAAAGGAGTAAAAACTTGGAAAGCCAATTGCTTTAGAGCAAATTTGATTTTGAAATGATTCAGCAAGGTTTTTCTCTTGAACTCTGTGGAGTTAAAGTAATTCTGCCCTACTTTTTCTAGACTTCAAGCTAACCTTCTCACTGCCTCTGAACTCATAGTGTCTTCTTATTGGTACTTCAGTGTCATGAATTGCAGAGAACGGTCCACGGGCAGAGCAAGTCTCTAGTAACGTAAACTGTCCTCTCCTTCGCTTCATGCTTATTCCCAGGTAAGACTGATTGTACTCATCTTTGTATTTTGGTATTGCAATACTCAAAGGGGATGAAAGTCAAATTACATCCCAAACTGCTAGTTGCTGACTGCAAATACTTTGCAGTCATTGTTAATTAACAAAACAAAATAAACAGGTAGCTAGTCTGCACATTCATTTAGCCAGGCACCTCAGGCAAGCAGCAGCCCAAATAAGAGGGTTAGCAAAGATGTAATGGATTGATTTATCTGTATCTTAATAGCCAAGAGTTCTTGACATAAGATCTGCCATCACCAGAAGAGCTAACAGGATTCTTCACTGGAATTTTCTCCCCAGCACCCCAGGGGTGTTTTCTTCCAGGCCAGGGTCGACTGTATTGATGAATGAGTGTCTGATGGGAAGATGTTATTCATCTATATTGTACCTACTCTGACAATCAAGGCACTCTCTCAAAGACTGCCAATTCAGTAAGAGTCACCAACACAAAATTCACATACAGAGAGAGATAAGGGTATTGGAGGAACAAAGGAAAAGGAGGTTTCAAGGTTTTGCCCTACTGTGTCTTTCTGAACTTCTCGGTCATCAAGTTAAACAGAGATAAAAATAGATGAAAAAGGAAGAAGCAAGGCTAGGTGTCTCAGTGGGATAGAAACTTGACTTGTGGCCTTATGAAAGTGGTAATAAAAGCACAGAAAAAGCTTTCTGCCAGCATATCTCACAGACCTCACAAGATTAAATTAACTGGTTAGAAAAAGAGCCTTCAGTGTATTAATAATATACTGTCATTCATTTCACTTCATTCCCTGCACCTTCAGACTATGGCAGCCTTCTGACAGGTCTGGTTACAAGAGTTTCTTTGCCAGAAGCATTAAATTTACTTTCTGTTGGCCTCTGCATAGAACACAATAATAATAATATTGCCCTTCCTGTCTACAGCTTTTGATGTGGAGCTCTCAAAGCACTTTACTACATTCATGAAATTACGTTCTACTACGTATGTATTATTTCCAGGTATTAAGGAATTGAAGCCTGGAGGGCTAGTTCCACACAGAGCTGAAAACAAGAATCCCAATTTTGACTCTTGTATCAGAAGCTTAGAACATGCTCATGTCTCTCCAAACCTTTAATTGCTTATTCCTAAGAAACCAGATTAGTCTAGATTTACAAAAGCGAGAACTAAAAAGTGGGTTACTGCAAGGCTTCTGATGTCAAGAAAGGCACAAACCCCTGAATTTCTAACAGTTGCAGAATTTTACTATAAAATTCTACACTAATGTTCAAGACTAATAGTTCCTGTGAGGGCCAATAGTGCTAGACATCAGTGACTTTCCACACATGGGAGGGAGAAGAGCAAGAAATACATTTCTGTAGCAATCTGAGCTGACTACAGAACACCACAGACAAGCTTTGAAGGCAACACAATTGAACGTCTTGGCTTTAAAAGAGTTGGTCTGAGTGGAATGGGCAAAAGATTAATTCTTTGGGGATCTGTATACTAAAGGAATCTGCCTTGATTACGTTCTGTTACTGCAGCAAAATGTTGCAGCACACTAGGAATTAATTTACACCTAGGTCTCCAGCCTCAGTCACAAGAAGTATAAGACACACAGATGTCTAGCAACAAGAACAACCCCTCATAAAACCAATTTGTGTCAGTTACAAAGACCCAAAGACAGCATCACCCACATCTTACAGAACTCAGGACACCACAACAGAAATTCACCCAGCTTCCTTAATCTTATATTTGATTGCTCACTGTGGGGACAAAATCAAATTACTTCCCTTTGCCCATAGACACGCTAAATAAATTCTAAATTATTTTAGAGAGCTATTGGGACAGTTACATATAGTGCTTTAGGATGTCCAGATAAAGGTAGCTGGAAAAGGATAAAATATTATTCTTGTCCACACATGACTTGATTCTAAACAGGCCTCAGAATTTGTTAGTGTATTTGCATTTCATTTTAGTGAAAGGTTTTCTTTGTCAAAGCAGAAGAAAAATGCAGTTAAGTGGAACACTTGTGATCCCCTCCCATGTAATTGCTAGGAAAGGCATTTAGACAGACATAAAATGACAAGTGAGACCAAGCAAGGGCAGCTATAATATGACAAGTAAGTGGAACAAAAAAATGTATAGAGGCAAGAAGAGGTGGAAGCCTTTCTCCTGAAATTATTCAATTCCCTGTGTATTAACCATGCCAGATGGCTACTGTGGCTGCCTCAGTTTCAGAAATGGTAGACTGGTTTCATAGCAACTAACACAGACACTGACTGCAGTTCTGATGAACTGAAAGAAACATGAGAAAAACCAAAATCAAACAAACAAAAACCCCTGAAATAAGGAGGATCTCGGGAAGTACAAACTCATCAGCTTTACCAAAACCCTGGGAAGATTATGGAGCAAACTTTCACGACAGCCATTTACAGACAAAAGGTGTCTGGGAACAGCCAACATGGATTTACTGAAGGCAAATTTTGTCTGACCAGCTTTACTGCCTGCTACAGTGAGATGCCCAGGCAAGTGGAGAGCAGGGATGCTGTTTACCTTGGCTTTAGCAAAGTTTTCCAGTCAGTCTCCTGCAGCATCACTGGAACCAAACTGGGGGCTCACAGATTTTATGGGTAAACTAAAAGAGTGAGCAAAAGCTGGCTGGGACACCAGGCTTAAAGAATAGTGATTTGATGGTTCAAAGTCTAACCCGTGGCTGTTATGAACTATGTTCTTCAGGTTGATACTGGGGTCAAGACTGATAACTACATCTACATCAACAGCCTGGACAACGGGATGTTCATCCTCATCACACTTACAGATAACACTAAATTGGGGCAGCAGTGGATATGCTGGAGGCTACCGCTGCCACTGAAAGGGACCTTGACAAACCAAAGGAATGGGCCAACAAGAACCTCAGGAAGTTCAACAGTGGTAATTCTGCACCTAGGGCAGAATAACCCCATGCAACAGTACAGCCTGAGGGCCTGAGGACCAGGGAGCAGCTCTAATGCAAAGGACCAGGGGGTCCCGGAGGACAAACCGAGCACACGTTAGTAGTGCCCCCTTGCGGCAATAAAGGCTGATTACACATTGGCCTGTATCAGTAAGCGCTACCTAAAGGGGCATTATAGAGAAGGTGGAGCCAGAGGCTTCTCAGAGGTGAACAGCAAGATCGTGAGAGGAACAGCCACAAATTACAGCAAGGCAAATTTTGACTGGATATAAGGGGGGGGGAAATCACAAGAGCAGCCAAACAGGCACCCAGAGACGGTGTGTAATCTTTATCCTTGGAGATTTCTAAAACTCACCCATACAAAGCTCTGAGTGACCTGATCAAACTTTCAACTTGACCCTGCTTTAAGCAAGGAGCTGGACTAGACCTCTGGAGGTCTCTTCCCACCTAACATCTTTCGGTGATTCTACCAGGTGACTTGCAAACCTAAGATCTATTTCAGTTTTTGAAATAACCTGCCTAATGAAATTACTTGGTACCTTGAATAGGACAAGAGGTTCTTACTCGCTTATTGTACTCAGTGTTCTACACCAGCAAGTAGATGCCACACTTCAGCCCTGAAATGACTGTATTTCAGTCACTTATCTAATTTTCATGACATATGTTGAAGAAAAATAGATGGTACAGAAATATAAAATCTCTATCAAAGGCCATGGGAATCCATTCTCATGAGAGATAGTCTGGTTGATCACAGACTGTGAAACAACTGGCCCTTCTGTTCTCACCTTCATATATATTGCCGCATCCCACCCTTTAGCCAACTCATTTGCCCTCCTGCACTTAAAATAAATTACACTTAGGCAAACCAAAATAGCTTTTTCAAGTAGGACAAGGAGAATAAGATGGAAGATGCCTGAATTCAAAGCAACAAGGCTGTGTTTAATTTTTCTTGAAATCAGAAGTACCTACCTGGATAACCATTGAGGCCATAGGCTTTCCACTGGCTAACTGGCTGTAATCCTGCTCTGTAGGCATCTTGATCACTGACCGAAGAAATACTGAGCTGTGATTTGAACACCTGGCAAAAGACGACAGATCTGTTTAAAAAAAAAAATTAAAAAAATACAAAATTCATCCAAATATAGCACCTATAAAAAAGAATGCTATCACATTCCAAGGTAAGTCTGTGAAAATGCCAACTGTACCACAGAACTATTGTCAAAGCAACACTGGCCAGAACAGGGCATGCTGCTAACAGAGCTAGTATGTACTCAACACAGGAATCAAAAGGTAGCTATAGTTTTTACAATATTTAGAGATCAGGACAGATGTCCTCCATTCATTAAAAAAACCCAAGAATTTATCCTAATGAGAAAAAAATTCAGCACTATTTGTTCATTTCCACAGTACAGCCTCATCATTACAAAACATTCCAATACTTATCAATTTCTATTAGAGTGCAGTACTTAGTACCCATTAACACTTTATACCTTCAAAGAATATTCCAAATACAAGTTGCTCATGACCCATAGGGTAGATGACTATTCTCATCTAATTTACAGAAGGAGTAGCAGCACAGTGATGAAATGGCCAAATTGTCTGATGTGAAGGACGGCAGAAACCCTGTAAATTCTGAACACCACATTGCCACTTCTTACAACAGTAGGGTCAGCAGCTCAATGCTTAGCAAGATATATTTTCTTGATGTACTCTCTTGCGTCGCAATAACATATGTATTTAAGCTGCAATAAGCCAACATTTGCTGAAAAAAACCCACACTCGTCCACTGTGTTCCCACTCCCTTCTTCCTTTAGGGCTGGGAACTGTCTTAGGGAGGGTAGGGTAGATGCAGGTTGGCTTTGTTCTGGTTTAGTTCCCCAGTCCAGCTCTCCATGTGGCTGTGCAAAAGCAAAGGCTTGTACAAGGAAAGAGCTGGCCAGGCATAGGGGGAATAAGCAGGCAGAGACAAGCAAGACTTTATTTACTACAATTTAAAGTATACATGAAATTAAGCCCTTTGCATGCAGACTCTGAGGTCATGAATGTGTAAATTGGTCTCTCTGCAGGCTGACAGCTCTGGTTAACATCTTCTGAGCAACAGGTCTGAATTACATACATAGACTTTGTAAGAAAACTCTAAACCAGTGCTGGGCAGCAGTTTCTGGCAACATGCTCAGTTTTACCAATTTTTCAGCTCTCTGCCAAAAGCAGCTTTGCGACGCCAGCCTTGAAGAGCTTAGTTCAGACTCCTCTCTGCAGAACATCCTCAGGATGGCTCTTCCCTTGACTAAGACTCTGCCACCCCTCTGCCTTCTCAAACTGCTTACACACCATCTGCTGCCAGGGCTTCTGGAGAACAGGAGCTGTTTCTATGCGAAGAATTACATGTGCCAGACCAGTTAAATAAGCCTGGTAGCAGAGCAGCTGGGGTATGCCACACCTCACTGAAGAGCTCAATCACTTGAAGCAGTTTTCTGAGAGAAAAGGAACAATAGTCTCTGGGCCAATCTGCCTGGCCTGTAGCTCTTCTTAAAGAGAAGAGCCAGATGTTTTTAACCTGGGGGAAAGAGGAATAAAAGATGCTTTCACTAGTAAGCTATCAACTGATCTTAGAAGGTAACAGGCACAAAAAGAATGATATGGAAAGGGGATAGCTGCTTATAATGCTTTCAAGTACTTGGAATTTCCCAGAAGGACTGTAATGTTGGAATCCTTTATTTGATAAAGACTTGCTGCAAGCTTTAGAAAGGCTGAAATGTTAACAACTCCCTTGTTTAATGCTAACGCCTTGAACAATTTCATATGGGTCAGGTTTTGTGTCCCATTAACAACATCAAAATTATAGTCTGAAAAGATAGAAAAAAATATATATTCTAATAGAACAGTAAAAAGGCTAAGCATTTGAACTACGAAAAGTTAGGCAAAGTTTCATTTTAACTACATTCTGTACTCCCTTTTTTCATATAGGCTCATACATAGAAAATCTCTGGTTAACAATACCTCAGCAGATAACCATTACCTTTTGAGGTGACAAAACAGAAGATGAGTTTAAAGGATCACTTCTCCATCGCCCAAGACATAGTAAACTACTAACCACGATGGCTGCTCCTTTCAGATATGCTCCTGAATGCATGCCCCTAATCCACTGCAATGGCTGGGCTTGCCCCGATGGCTAAACTAAATGTTTATTATACGGGAGTAAGAAAGGAGAAGAAACTTTACCAAGGAGAAGACAGCAAGAACCCCGGGCACGCACTGCACAGCAAGGGGAAACCGATCCCAGCTCACCCTGGTATTTCAGGGCCCCAGACAAGGACTAGTAGCCCTAGGAAATAGTGTCAGCTCCAATAGCAAAACTTGCTTTTTTCCCTCCACATATTCCTTCGCTTCCCTTAAGTAACACGTGGTTTTATTAGAAGCTTTAGAGATCCCTTAATACAGCACAGAGAGGCAATTAAACATTGCTGGAGTAAGTAAACATAAGCAAAAGTAGTAAATCTGTGAATAGGCAGTGTACTGGCCAGGGGTGGCGGTGGGATGGCTCCTTGTGCCCTTAGGCAGGGTCCCGTAGGCCCACG